CTCCTGTGTAGGAAGAATCAACATAGTGAAAATGGCGCTACTACCAAAACTGCTATACAGATTCAACGCAATGCCGATTGAAATTCCAACACTATATTTCACAGAACTAGAAAAAAGAATCCAAAAATTCATTTGGAACCATAAGAGACCTAGAATAGCAAAAGCCATCCTAGGCATCAGAGACATGACAGAGGGTATAACAATTCCCAATTTGAAACTGTACTACAAAGCCACTGTGTTAAAAACAGCATGCTACTGGCAAAGAAACAGACCTGAGGATCAGTGGAACAGACTGGAAGACACAAAAACAACTCCAGATGTACTCAGCTACCTCATCTTTGACAAAGGAGCCAACCATCCTCAGTGGAGGAAAGATAGCCCCTTTAATAAATGGTGTTGGAAAAACTGGATTTCAACCTGTCACAGATTAAAACTAGACCCTTATCTTTCACCATGCACTAAACTAAAATCCAAGTGGATTAAAGATCTAAATATTAAAAAAGAGACACAAATCCTCAGTAGCACAGGAAGTAGTAAATCAACAACTGGGATCTCATCTTATTAAAAAGCTTCTGCACTGCAAAAGAAACCACCAACAGAGCTAAGAGACAACCTACAATGTGGGAAAAAATTTTTACCAGCTGCTCCTAAGAAAAGGACTATCATTTAGAATATATACTCAAAAAAACCAGGCCCCCCCAATCTAAAGACCTGATTAAAAAAATGGGCATCTGAAATGATCAGACACTTTTCAGATAAAAAAGTAAAAGCATTAAGTAAATATATGAAAAAATGTTCCACATCACTGGTCGTTTGAGAGATGTAGATGAAAACAACACTGAGATTCCACCTCACCCCAGAAAGAATGGCTGCTGTCAAGAATTCAACCAATAAAAAATGTTGGCGGGTTGTGGGGAGAAAGGACCCCTTCTTCATTGTTGGTGGGAGTGCAGACTGGTGCAGCCACTGTGGAAATCAAGGATTTTTTTTATATTGCCCTGATGTAAAGTACTTGTTTCTTTTTAACGCTAATATTTGCAGCAACTATGGTCTTTTTAGTCAAAACTTTGCAGGTTGTTCCTTTTTGAGAAAACTGAAAACTTTTCACATGGATTTTTGCTCCCAATTTTCAGCCAAGCCTGGCTTAAGCAGTAGTCAGTGTCTATCCTAAAGCATGAACATTTGAATGTGTTGAAATTTTTTTCATCAGATTAGTTAGTCCATCACCCTTAATCACAGTTTCCCACAAAGTCTGAAGATGAGCAAAATTTAGACAAAATTTCTGCCAGCGCTTAAACCGTGTGGCCTGAAGTCCAGTTGCCAATGTAGTCCTGTTTCCAGCTGAAGCCTCCTGAGTCTGGTCTTTACCATCTTTTTTGTATCAACATTCTGGTCTTCTGAGCTCTGGTCAGAATCTCAAACTCAGCTCACAGCATTCGAGGGCTACTTCTCCAGCTGGCAGTCGCAAAATCTTGCAAATTCCCCCTATGAATCAGTTTCAAAGGCATCTAAGCCACATAGTCAGGTAGCAGCACAGTAAAAGAATCCCACTTCTCTGGTCCCAAATTCTGTTTTAGTCACTTTCCTCGGCACTTGGACACAATGCACAAAATCCACAATTTAGAGGAGGAGAGATTTGTTTTGTTCACATTTTTAGCCCATACTCTGCTGGCTCCAAGCCAGGTAGGCACAGCAGAAGGGCATAACAGAGGCAGAGCTACCTCATCTCATAGTAACGAAAAAGCAGAGAGAGAGAGAGATGGAGAGACTGAGGGAGGCAGTTTTGCCCTTCCAAGTCATGCCTCTAGTTACCCACTTTGAACCAGGCCCCACCTCCTAACACCACATTTAGCTTTAGTGCCCCCATGGTTAAATTACCTTTCAAAAATTCATTTATGAGCACATGAGGCTCTCGGTGCTCACCTAGATATAAACTATAATAGACAAACTGCAGAATGTGTGAAAATATCATAAGCTATGTAACTAAAAAGGGATTAATACCCGAAATACATAATGCATTCAAGGAACACAATAGTAAGAAAATAACATTGCAATTGAAAAGTACGCAAAAAAATTACACGCCTCTCAAAACAAAGCTTATTATTAATGTTTAATGGGTACATGGGAAAAATGTTATATATTGCCCATAAGTGAAATACAAATCAAGACAAAGTGAGATATCACCTATACAAAGAAAAAAAGAAAAAATATTTTGAGAGAGTAGGTGGAAAAAAAGTACCCTGAGCGCTGTTACTGAAGATATCAATTTTTATATCCATTTAAAAGTGTAGAGTTTCATTTAATAATTAAAAATATAAATAGCACATGACCCAACAATTTTTCTTATATCTACAGATCCAGAGAAGGTAAAATCAGTATGTTGAAGAAATATCTGCACACCTCTGTTGTATCATTATTCACAATAGCCATGTTAAGCTATCAACTTAAATGTCCATTATTTCCAGTAGATAAATGGATAAATAAAATGTGCTTCATAAACAAAATGAAAAACTAGTCCACCACAAAAGGGAAATTATGTCATTTGTAACTATGTGGATGAACCTAACAGACATTTTATTAGGTTGAAATAAGCTACACAGAAAAACAAATAAATACTAAATTATATCATTTCTATGGGAGATCTAAAGAGTCGAATTCACATGAGCAGAAACAGAGAACAGAATGGTGGTTACCAAGATATGGGGGAATGAGAAATTTAGGAAGATGTAAGTCTAATAATACACTTTCATTTACACAAGAAAAATAGTTAAACAGATCTAACATACAATGTGGTGAGTATATTTTATAAGAAAATCACTGGTAGTAAACTTTATTTTGTTGATTGCAAAAATAACATCTGACACTACAAAGATATAAACAGACTAAAAGTGAAAGGATAAAAATATTACTTCAAGAAGATGAGGGTGAAAGCAGGAGCAGCTATACTTCTTCCCAACAAAGTAGACTTTAAAATAAAATGAGAAGAGACAAAGAAAGCCAGGATATATTGGTAAAGGGAATAATTCAAGAAGAAGTAACAGATGTAAGTATATATGTACCAAACATCAGCGTACACAACGTCATAAAACAAACATTACTTGACATAAAGATACAAATAGGGGGTCAGGGATTTAGCTCAGTGGTTCCGCTGCCTGCTTCACAAGTGCAAGGTCCTGAGTTTGACACCTGGTACCCCCCCCAAAAAAAAGATACAAATAGGCAAATACAATTATCAGGGTGACCTTAATAACCCTACCCGGACAAGTAAATAAATCAACTAAGCAAAATTTCAACAGGAGTTAAACTGCACTATAGATCAAATATATTTAATAGAATGGTCAGTGTCATTAATGAAATTAGTGTCATTAAATAAACTTTAAAAATGACTAGACTAACAATACAGAAACAGTATATCCAAACTATAAGAATGAACGCAGTTCTAAGAGAAAAGAATTTAGCTATGAGTGTTTACATTAAAACAACTGATGAATTTCAAATAAATAAGGTAACTGCATTTCAAAGTAGGCAAGGGCAAATAACTGTTTTTCAAATTTTACATTAGTGTGTGCAGTACATGATGATTACACTCATTCTAGGGAGATGGTATGTGACTTAACAGATCTTAATTTTTTATTTACATTTCTCTTCCCCTCTCTCCTCTTGCCCTCTATATCTGGACTCTCTCTTTGTAGAGAATAGATTTCCGTATTTCTATAGTCTGTCATTTATTTTCCTTTTAGAATTGTCTATGCTCTGGATTTCTCATGTATGAGAAGCCGTGTGCTATTCAAGTTTGCATGCCTGATTAATTTCACTTGATGTATGGTGTCAGTGTGCTTCCGCTTTCCCACAAATGACCCAAATTCATCCTGCTCTGTCCAACAAGATAGTAATCAAGAGTGTCGCGTGATTTCAGGGATTGTTTTGCTTGCAGAAATATTAATGTATTGAAAGACAGGTTTAGCTATGAGGAAGGAATTACACAACGCGGAGAGTTTACAGGCTGACTTCCTTATGTGTCTCCGCCTCAACACCAGGCAGCGAGGGAGGGTCGGGTTCACATTTCAGCAGTCATCCTGGCGCTGTTGCTTGGGGATATGTTTGTCTTTACACTTTAGGTTTTCCTTGTGAGCCTGAATAAGATAGGTTGCGAATCTGACGCATTTGAAATGGTTGCTGTTTTCTTTCATCTTAACTCCTTTGCGGAATACTGTTATAGGTTACTTTATTTCTTCAATAACTGTATTCCTTTTGTGTTGTATATTTATCTTCTTGTCTTGAAATGGTTAGACTGAGAGCGTGCACGTAGCCAGCGGCTCCCTGATTCCAAATTTTTGCCATCTCACCACATTAGGCCCTCCCTCTATTCCGTCGTGCCCTGGCCTTGCCTGCACGCCTGACTTTCTCTCACGACTGTGACTTCTCCACGGCGTATTCACTCTGGAGCTCTCTCGACACACTCGTGAGCCCATTCTGAGAAGCCACACAAAGGTCAGAAGTCAGGCGCAGCCTGGGGTGGTGCAGGTCTCTAATCGCTGCACTGGGTTGGCTCTTGCCGGGGATCACAGGTTCAGGGCCAGCCCGGGCTACAGCGTGAACTGCATAGCGAGACCCCGACTCAAAACACAAAACGAAACAATCAGACAGAAAAAGACAGCAGGTCTGAAGAACCAGGAGCAAACTGCGCTCGAATTCAGTTGTCCCGCGGGCTAGGACCCTCCGGGAGGTCCGCCGCTCCCGAAGTCTCCGAGTCACAATCCGCTATTCGAGCTCCGCTCACGCCGGCAGTCGTCCGTCCCAGCTGTCACTCTCAGCTCAGGGGATTGGCTACGGAGCAGCCAATCACCGATTAAGAGGCGGGCATCGGGGCGGGAGCCAGTCACTAAGAGGAGGCCGTACGAATGGCCCAATCGGGAGGGCTGAGGAAGGGGGCTCTTCCTGTGTCATGGCGCTGACGTCTTCTGCAGCGGCAGCGCGTTGCGGAGAACCACACCTTCTGTCTCGACCTTCCTGTTTGACTTCTTCCGGCCCTGCGCTGCGTGGGAAGAACCCTGGGCGACACTCCAGTCCCACAATGGTGACGGTACAAACTGGGATGCGATGGGGGCGCGGTCTGGGGAGCGGCGGGAGCCTGCCGTGGCAGAGTGCGGCTCCCTCCCCGCGTCCGAGGGCCTCCTGGTCCGTGCTGCTCTGCCCGGTGCTTGCCCATCTCTGGGTCCTCGCGTTCTGTCTTCCCGTGGTGATCCCGCCGGCCTGGAAGGCAGTCTGAGGCAGCCCCACCCCGCAGCTCCTTGTCCGCCCGTGCGGGAGGTTTGCGGGGAGGCCCGGATGCAGGTGAGGGGCCGAGCAGAGGGAGCTGAGGCGCCGCTTCGCCGACCCTCTGGGCCCTTGGGGCTCAGCTAAGACGGTTGCCGGGAGCTAAGCATCATGTCCAAGCGAGCTAAGCAGCGTGGCCAGGGCCCTGTTTCGGGCTGCTCTGCCCACCGTATCGTGCCGTGACAGCAGGGGGGTGTTGGGAGGCTCCTCACTCTTGTGGAAGGCTTGTGTGTGGGTGCACCAGACCCAGTGTTATAGTCTGTGCCTAAAATGTACCCCAAATATCTCATGAGTTCAGAAGCTGATTGGATTCCGTGGGCCCTGTACTCAGTGTGTTCATCCTCTGGTGAGTCCACTACCTGAGTGCTGTTAGGAGGTGGGGCCCAGTTGGAGCAGGGTCACCGGTGGTGCGACTCGGGAAAGAATAGTCTCATCTCTGATACCTCCCCTCTTCCTCTGCTGCTTTTTCCTTGGAGCCATGGATTGAAACTGAGCCAATCTAATCTTCTCTTAAAAGTTGTGGGCGCCGAGTATTTGGTCCAGGGGATGTAAAATTGGATAAGCCAGCTGGAGTGGTGAATTTAATAAACCTTTAGGATCCCGGCTCTCACAGTTTTTTCTCTCAGCCGTGCTATTCATTGTGATGAGACTGAATTCCTAAATTTCAAAACTTCCCACATTGCCAGAGACACAGTCGGGTGTTTACAAAGATCATGAAAATAGGAAGAAAGGTGTAACATTGCTGGAGATGAGGCTCGGTGTTAGAGCACTTGCTTAAACTCCTGTGATACTCCAACAGCAAGCAATTAGTTAGTAGAGCAAGTAAATATAAAAGTAGTAGGTCCCCATATACTTCCGAATGCCAAGAAAGTAATAGCGTGTCATCTATTTAGGAGACGAAGGTGAATATAATCTTGCAAAGTACAACTTTCGGAAGTTGCGGCCCTTTTAAACTCACACGGAGAATCTCTTTGAAGTAGGGCGCTCTGATAGACATGTGATTTGGTTGCTAACAGAAAAAGTTGGGCACCATTTCTTAAATAATTGCTATAGTCCTTGGATAGTTTGCAGGCAGTGTTTTTAAAAATGAAATGCTGAGTGAGGTATGACTTCATTAAAAGCAGAAATACGGTAGTGGTAAATCCCCAAATGCTGGCCTGCACACCTATCAGTGGTTAGGCGTGAGACTGAGAGGAGAAAAAGGAAATAGATAAAAATGGAAAAGGCGGGGGTGACGGAAAGTGGCAAAGTCAGTTCCTGAATCCGAGGAGATTTTTCCCTTGAGGTCAGAGTGTTCTTCGTGTGACACTGAAGAGGGGGCTCTCCCCTGGTTTGGGTGGCTGTGGGTAAAATATCAGAGGAATAAAGAAAAAAGAAATTTAGGAATGGTTAGACTAAGTCTTTTGCTACTGCTGATTAGTCCACTTCATCACTTTTAAGGGAAAATTGGAAATTAGAAGATCGTGTCTGTCCTTGTTATGGGTTAAAAGAGTTAGTCGGGCAGCATTACCTGTCTCAGGAAGAGAACTCAGACAACGCGGAACATTCATTCTGATCTGTGTCCCGGCTTTCTAAAATGTTTTGTTCTATTTTGAGACTGGCATTCTCTGTTGCACAGGCTGACAGTGTGAAGGACATTATTATTACTGTATTTTTTTTTTTTTGGTCTAACTTCAATATGTGTCATGATCCACAGAATAATGATCCAAACTAACTGGATAATTCCGTTCCATCTCTGTTCTCATCTGATTACCGCTAGAACTGCTCACAGGGTCAAATGTTTTGGATCTTTTTAAAGGATCTATCTTCAGATCGCTGGCAGAGTTACTTGGTTTAAACTCATCGGTATGTTGAAGGAGTTAATCATTGAGATGAATATACCATTATTTTTATGCCGTAAAGATTGTTTCTGGTTTCTTTGCCTCAATTTATTGCCTGTAACTTTTTAGGGAATGTTGTATTTCAGTCACTTTACTCACTTATTTTACGGCATCTGGACTTGTGTTTTTTTCTAGTTGTTATTAATTGTGTGTGTGTGTGTGTGTGTGTGTGTGGTTAAATATACTTGTGATAAATTTCTGATGTTTTTCTACAAGTAATAATAAATGGGGCGTACTGGTACATGCCTGTAATCCCAGTACTCTGAGAGATGGTGCACACCTATAATCCCAGCACTTGGGAGGCTGGGGCAGGAGGAGGGTTGCTGTGAGTTCAAAGCTAGCCTGAACAATGTAGTGAGACCCTTTCGAAAAAAAACAAAAACAAAAAATACTGTGTAGTTAAAGATTTCTTGACCTATCAGTTACTTATGGAGGTGTTTTTGAAAAAATCAGAAATAGTTGTGGATCCGTGATTTTCTTTTCAGTTTCATCTTTTGGCCCATGTCATTTGAAGCTGCTTTTAATGGGTTGCATGTGTATAACTGTTAGTTTTATTGGAGAACTGCCTTCTGTATCATTATATGATCATTGTAATCCTTACTGCTTTGAGGTACAGATTGAGTAATGTCAAGTTAATGTAACCTTAACTGGTTTTGTTAAATCATTCTTGGCTAGTGTATATTTTTGTATAACTTTCTAGTCTACGTTTTTTTTTTTTTTTTGTACCATGGATTGAACTCAGGACCTTGCACTTGGCGAAGTAGGTGGTGGTACCACTGAGCTAAATCTCTGGCCCTCTATTCTGTTTTAAAGTTTGTCTTATCTTTATTATATTTTTAAAAATATCTGTGCACGTTTTAGTTGACAGGTGGAGATGGAATATGCTTATAATTCAATGCCTGATGCATTGAAAAATTTATTGTCCAATGTTAAAATCGATCAGATTAGTTTACAAACCTTTTATTTTTTGTAGTGAGAACATTTCAAATTGATTGCTGTGTTAATTGTACAGAGTAAATTACAGTGTTCTTAACTCTTTTACAGCAGTGTTTAATAAAAGTTTTGAGCTCATTTCCCTTACCCATATAACGCTATATATTCTTTAAATGGTATATCTGTCATTTCCCTTTATGTAAAATATATTTTTCATAGAGAACACGTCTTATTTTCTTATCTACTTTCACACTCTTCATTGTTTATGCAAATAGTTCATGAAGAAAGAAAATACATTATTGTCTTACCGATTTCTATTTGATTTAGTTCTGGTTATTTTGTTTAATGTTTCTAGTTGCTTCTCCCTGTTTATTTTAATAGGGCATTTTATATGATTCCATTTTTTGTTGTTCATTATGATATCCAATAGTCCTTGGTCCTGATTTTTTTTCCCTGGTTTTCCACATTAGAAATATCTTTACGGCTTCTCTAAACCCACATTGAATAACACTGTTTTCAGAGACATTCACATAGCTTAGCATACTCACAAGTATTTTATATCCAGTTACAGCTTATGTCACTCATTCTACAGATCAGTACCGGGAGCTGTAACAACCAAGGAGACTGTTGATGTTATCCATTTGAACATAATTCTTGGTTAATACAGATAGAACCTATGCCATTAAAATTATTTCAGGCATTTTCTGTACTTGCATTACTTTGGTATGACTTCTTGATAATGTCTAAATCTTTGTTGATGTTATTTTATATAAGCAGCCTTTTCCTGTTTTCCTGGCTCTTTCTCTTTGCTTCTACCTCTTTTTCCGAAATGTAGACTTCTGCTTGATTACCTTTGTGTAGATAATTCAATGATCTTTTTCAGATGCTCTTTTACCAATTCTTTTATTTATTTATTTTTTGGATTTTTGAGACAGGGTCTCACTATGTAGTTGAGACTGACCTAGAACTCACTATGTACCCCAGGCTGGTCTCGAACTCACAGCGATCCTCCTGTCTCAGCCTCCCAAGTCCTGGGATTATAGGCATGCACCACCACGCCTGGCTTTTTTTTTTTTTCACTTTTGAGCCATGTGCTCACCTTCCTTTGTACTTGGGTTTTGTTGTTTGTTGCACATAAGCAAATATTTTATCAGTCTAACGAAGAGAAAGTAAAAAAATCACATCTTCCTTTTTCATTGTTGACTGAGATAGATTGGAGTGGTTGAAATGGAGTATTTCACGTGTTGTTAAACCATTGGATATAAAAATGTTCCAGAGATTTGAGTTTTGGGGAAATACTGTCTTTTCAATTCAGAACTTACTTAAACACCAGAATTTTTGAAGTGGTTTTCTTCTCCCCCCACAACTCTCTCAGACGTATGGAACAATTTTTCTCTGATTACCATTGTGAGAATCCAGCTGTGCTTGTGGATGTAAAACTCAAAACATTTTAGGACGTTTAACAACTGCCCCTTGAAGTTTTCACCTTTCAAACCTCTGTCCTTGTTTATAAGGACATGTAAAGTTTTCCTGCCCTTGGTCTGTTCTTGTAAGTTTCTTCATAGTAACTGACACTTTTGTCCGTCTTCCTCCTTGCTTTCCAGTTTGGAGACAGTGCAATCTGTAGTCCTCAAGGATGCAGGTGTTAGGCTAGTTTGTTGTTGTTGAGAAGGGAACATTCCTCTCCACTCTTCCATGTGCACTGGAAAGTGGAAATGTGTGAACTCGCTGTTTGCTTTTTAGTGAGTATATTAACCCTCACCATGACTTCTACTCCGGATTTGTGATCCAATTAAAGATAAAGCTTAGGTGTTCACAGTTTTCGATCTGACAGATACGTTGATTTCCCAAAACTCTGTTTATGGGATTGAATTCTCACTGTAAATTCCCTGTTAACTTTAAATAGCTTCTCAAGCCAGGCTCCTCTCTTCACTCTTTGATTTTTGGTGGATCGTTGACAGTCCTATCCTAATCTGCCTGAGTATTCAGTCGTGAAAGTAATGTTCCTTTGCATGTCCTCTCGGTTTTTTATATCATAGCTTTACCAGCATGAACACAAAAACAGCTCCTCTCCAGGTAAGCATGGGATTTTACATCATAAGCAGGGTGTCTAGACATCGTGCAGCCCAGATATCTCTTTTCTTTCTCTGCCTTTCTAACCTGCCCTCTTCCGGATAACCAGCTTACAGCCGACCACTGCTCGCTGGGTGTCTGGAGGTCTCATGTTTGCAACTGTGCTGCTTGGTTTCCTGCTGCCCTGTCTGTGAGTACCGTCTCATTTTCCATGTCAGAATACAGGCAGTTGGTTCTTTCCTCACGGCAATGTTGTGTTTAAATATTTTACAGTATATTTTATTACCAAAAATGCATTTTTATGAGATTTAACAATAATGACAATATACATATTCTGAAGACCCTGAGAAATTTTTATACATGGGCCTTGGGCAGTTTTTGAGTATCTAGGTGAAAGCCTGTTTGACTCAGCCTTACCTTTCCATAGATGACAACTGTCTTATTTCTGTTTCAGTCCCCCCCACAAGTTTACAATGTGTAATTGTCCTTAGGCAGTATTCTCTCAGTTTTGTCCCCTTGAAATGTTCAATAAAAGAGTACTACAGAGATTGCACTGAAAAGCCTTCTAAGTGGTTTGTCACTCAGCTTCACATCTGAGACAGGGGCGAAATACTTTCTTACCCATTTCAGTGGTAACATGGTGGAAGACGTTTTCAGGTTTACTTCGTATTGTGCAAAGAGTCACATCCGTCTCCAGGAACAACTGCACACCGTGTTTCTGAAAGCTGGATTAAAGTCACTGGTTAGATTCTGGCAACCACCGGAGGGGAGGAAATGGCGGCGGAGTGTATTATTTGATCTGCGATTCTTTCCTCTGTCTGCATACTAGTTGTACCCTTCTACAGTTTCATTTGTCTAGCCTATTTCCTCAAATGCATGGACCTCGTTTTATATTGGTGTTTTCACTTGAGTTTATATATGTTTTATTCATTTTTGCTATTGTGTTCATTGATTTTTATACTCTTCACATAAATTATTTTTATTGTATGCACTGCAAATATTTTTCATTCCTTTTGTTTTTTTGGTTTTTTTTGGTACCGGAAATTGAACTCGGGACCTTGTACTTGCAAGGCAAGTGGTGGAACCACTGAGCTAAATCCCTGGCACTATTTTTTCATTTCTCATCTCTTTTATGGCCCATGATTTACAATGATTTTAATTTCTCTAATTTAATGACTTCTGGATTTTTCTGCCGAGGAAACACTTTTTCACATTTAAAATATATTAAGCTATGAATCGTACATATTCAAGTTTATCTTTTCCATTTTAAGATATAACTTAATTATTGTGCATGGAGTATGAAGAAAAAAGTATTTGTGTCAGTATGTGTACTTATTTCTTCCTGTTTCTCTATTAAACAGATTGTGATTTCTGCCACTTTGTATAATAACATCTCTAACATGAATCAGTACTCCATTTACATGTGATCCCATTGAACACCGTCTTCCTGTTTTGTGATCCGCCACCCAATCTAATAATATAGTTCAGGCCCTAAATAATATTCTTTCTCTAATACTAGGCAAGCTGTCACCTTCTTGTTTACCACTTATTGAATATTGTAAAATATTATACTGAACATCCATAATAGTTTGAAAAATCAAAGATATGATTTAGAAGTAACATATTTTTCATTCCTGTTAATTTTGCAAATACTAGTGTGTGTATACATGTATACATGTATGTATGTGTGTATATATATACTTTACCATATCAATTTCCCCGTTTGTCTCCCTCATAACTCTGTGGTAGGTGGATATTTGGTGTCATTAAGATAAAAAAGAATATGTCTAATTTTATTGACTTTACACATTCTACAATAAAAAATAATATTTTTATTAGCATTTAAAATTATTAATTTATTTTACTTAGTGTTCAATGAAGGCTTTAATCTGTGAAACCAGGTTCAAGCTTCAAAATGCCATCTAAAAGCCATTACAGAAGGAATGGGTCAATTCCTTAAATAATAAGTTGAGAAAGGAGAGCTTCCTAGGATGGGTCAGAACAGTTCATTAGGTATTCATGCATCCCGTCTTTGAATTTGGATGCTGATTTCATAGGCTCCCTCTGCGAACCACACTTTAGAAACAATGTACAAATAAAACTGGGTTTAACCAGCAAGACAACCAGTGTTCTTATTCTGCTCTGACTTTTGCAATAGATGCCAGTCTGGCATTAGAACTCCTGAGTGAGATGTGCATGTGAATGGGGGAAGTGTTTCGTGACCAAAACGTGGAGGCCAAAACGTTTGGAAGACTCAGCATCATTTTTTTGTACCGGGGATCAAACTCAGGTCCTTGTGCTTGCGAGGCAGGTGGCAGAACCACTGAGCTACATCCCTGGCCCAGCATCATTTCTGGAGTGTAGTAAAAATATTTCATGCTGTGAGTCTGAATTCTCTTTCTGGGAATATATGTGTGATGATTTAGGAGGCAGTGACCTTTGAGGATGTGGCTGTGAACTTCACCGTGGAGGAGTGGATTTTGCTGGATTCATCCCAAAAGAAGCTCTACAGAGATGTGATGTCAGAGATATTTAAGAACTTGGCTGCTATAGGTAAGGAAGATATCATTTTCTTATTTATATTATTAGGGAACATTGTTACTTGACGACCAGTACAATTTCAATGGAATATGAAAACATTTTGATGAGTATTCCAGACCTGGTCACAGTACCATGAATCTAACTGAAATCTGTTAGTTTTTATATAATGTTGTAGTAACTTACTGTTTTTTGTTTCTACTCTTTAGAACAAAACTGGAATGACCAGCAAATTGAAAATGAGTGCAAACATTGGAGGAGAAATCTAAGGTATTATGCAGTCACACATACAAAAGGGGATGTTCCTTATGAGCCAGGAAATGAACGCAAATTTTAAAACCAAGCAAACTACAAATGAGGCCAAGTTCAGAACTTATTAATTTCACAAACTCTCCTAAGGGGCATACAAGTTGTGTATCTGTAATGTGACAACCGAATACCTGAAACATTCCAATATTAGAAATTTGAGGTACTGACATTATGCCAAGAGTGACACTACTTAAAGTATCAGACTAAGCAAACTTTGTTTCATGCTCAAGATTCTAAAAATGGTATATGAAATTACATTAGGCATTGGCTATAGGTGTATGTGAAGTAAATGTTGTGTTTGGTCTGGAACACAAGTTCAGGGCATCTAATTACATATACATGTGACATTTTCTGAACACTCTCATACCCAAAAATTAATAGAAGAAATGCTACTTGTACTTAAATGTGTTGTGCACATTCAGTATTTGCAAATTTGTAATCTTGGACAAGTTTCTAAATTCAAATGAATGCCACTGTTTTGATAATAGCTATTTTCAAGGAATCTTCCAAAGCATCCAGTCCTTTCTTGTTCCAAAATTATCAGAAGGCAACTTCCTATATCGATGGTGGGACTGTTATGCGGTACGCCATCTATAGAAATGCCTGTGGAGATTCCTCAAAAAAATGTAAAACTAGAAATTTCATTTGATCCAGGTGAGCTTCTCTTGGGTATATTCCCCAAAAGCTAATCATAGTATAATGGTACATTCATATCCATGTCTTTTGCAGCCCAGTTCATGAGAGCTAAACTCTGGAAACAGCCAGATGCCCACTCACAGATGAGTAGATTGAAAACACATGGTATAGTCCAGGCATCATGGTGCATCCTTAGAATCATTGCACTCCAGGAAGCTGAGGCAGAAAGGTCACACTCACATGCTCAGCCTGGACAACTCAATGATTGATTAGTCTCTGTATCAAAAGAAGAAAGAAAGAAAAAGAAAGAGAAAAAAAAGACTAAGGTGTAGCTCAGTGCCAAGGGTGCCTTCAATTTCTAGTACAGAAAAATATGTGGTTTTCATGCATAATGACATTGTATTCAGTAAAAAAAGAGTGAAATAATATAGTTTGCCCAAAAATGGATAGCTCTCGAACCCATAATGTTAGGTGAAACAAATAAAACACAAACTTTAATATCATATGGTGTATTTTGTGTGAAAAATCAAAAGTATAAATTAAGGAGTAAAATAAAAGAGAGGTGGTAAAAAAAGGGACGCAAACTTTTTGTGGAAGGTGAAGAGATTCAGTGGAAGATAGCAGGGTAGCATCATGGAGGAAAGAGTATCAAAAATAATCACCACAAGGTATACTTATATACTTATTCCCCGAAATGAAAGTAAATGTTGTCTATTGCAAGTGTATGAATTATAAGCTCCCGATTATACACTAGTGTTTTAGTAAACACTGTTTTAAGCCATGTACAGTAAATTTATGGTCACATATTCTTAAAAGAGCTAATACCAGGTTTCCATTGGATAAATCATTAATAGGGAGACACTTTTTTTTAATAAACTGAATCTTTATTGGTACATTTTACCGATACAATAAAGTTACATTCATCATTGGTGTCTTGTACCTTTACATGACATATTTTGCTTCTTATTGTTTCCCCATTGCCCTAGCGGAGACACTTTTACATTGATTGTTTTATTATTACTTTTTTCCCTTATAGAAGTGAAGAGAGAGAGAAATGCTGTCAGTATAAATTACAGTATCAACATGAAGAACTGTTTTTTGGGACTCCAGATCATAATGTGAATATGAGACCACTTTTTACAGAACCAACTGAAAGTATTACTTGTAGAAATCCCCTGATTCTACCTTCATCACTAAATGTGCCTTTCCTAACTCATACTGCACTTACATCATATGAAGATCAGAAATGTGAACAGAAGTTGTCTAACAAACATGAACATTTTCAGTCCTGCGGAGATTTCCAGTCCCTTCAGAAGGAGGCAAGAACAAACCCTAGAGAGAAACCCTATGAAATTAAGCAATGTGAAAAATCCTTCTCTGATTGCACTAAAGAAACTCAGATCGGAGAGAAGCCCTCTGTGTGTAGGCAAGATGCTAAAGCCTTTAGTACAACAAGTTATTTTCAAATTCATGAAAATAATCACAGTGAAGGGAACGTCTCTGTATGTATACAAAGTAGAAAAGCTTTTAACTCTCACCACAGTGTTCCAATACATGAAAGGGTTCACACCAGAGAAGGACCCCATGTATGTAAACAGTGTGGGAAAACCTTCACTAATCTTTTTTCTCTTTGTAGACATGAAAGAACCCACAAAGAGGAGAAACATTACGTATGTAAGCAATGCGGAAAAGCTTTCACTGATAAAAGTTCATTTTGTAGACATAAAACAAGTCACACTGGAGAGAAACCCTATGTATGTAAACAGTGTGGAAAAGCTTTCAGCACACACAGTTATTGTCAAAAACATGAAAAAATTCACAAAGGTGAGAAACCCTATGTATGTAAGCAATGTGGGAAAGCTTTCAGCACACAGAGTAATTGTCAAACTCATGAAAGAATTCACACGGGGGAGAAACCCTATGCATGTAAGCAGTGTGGGAGAGCTTTCAGGCAACACATTCAGTGTCAAGTACATGAAAGAACTCACACGGGGGAGAAACCCTACGCATGTAAGCAGTGTGGGAAAGCTTTCAGTAGAAATAGGTATTGCCAAATCCATGAAAGAACTCACACTGTTCAGAAACCCTATGTATGCAGACAGTGTGGGAAAGCATTCACTTACGATAGTTCACTTTACAAACATAAAAGAATTCACACTGGAGAGAGACTCTATGTATGTAAGCAGTGTGGGAAAGCTTTTACCTGTCACAGTCATTGTGAGACACATGAAAGAACTCACACTGGAGAAAAACCCTATGTATGTAAGCAATGTGGGAAAACATTTCTTTATTACAGTTCATTTTGTAAGCATAACAGAATCCACACTGGGGAGAAGCCCTATGTATGTAAACAGTGTGGAAAAGCCTTCACTTATGGCAGTTCGTTGTGTAAACATAAAATAATCCACACTGGAGAGAAACCCTATGTATGCAAACAGTGCGGGAAAGCTTTCAGCAGTCATAACCACTGTCAAACACATGAGAGAGCTCACACTGGAGAGAAACCCTACGTATGTAATCTGTGTGGGAAAGCGTTCCCTTATCACAGTTCATTTCGTAAACATAAAAGAATGCATACTGGGGAGAAACCCTACATATGTAAACAATGTGGGAAGGCATTTGCTTATGATAGTTCATTTTACAAACACAAAAGAACTCACACGGGTGAGAAACCCTATGTATGTAAGCAATGTGGGAAAGCTTTCAGCACACACAGTCAGTGTCAAAGCCATTATAGGACTCACACTGGGGAGAAACCGTATGTATGTAAACAGTGTGGAAAAGCGTTCACCTATGACAGTTCACTCTGTAATCATAGAAGAACTCACACTGGAAAGAAACCCTATGTATGTAAGCAGTGTGGGAAAGCTTTCACCAGTCATAGTAATTGTCAAACACACGAAAGATCTCACACTGGAGAGAAACCTTATTTATGTAAACAGTGTGGGAAAGCATTTCCTTATTATAGTTCATTTTACATACATAAAAGAATTCACACTGGGGAGAAACCATATGTATGTAAGCATTGTGGGAAAGCTTTCTCGTACTACACTTCGTTTTATAAACATAAAAGAATTCACACGGGAGTGAAACCCTATGTATGTAAGCAATGTGGGAAAGTCTTCAGTACACATCGATATTGTCAAATACATGAAAAAAGCCACACTGTGGAGCAACATGTATGCAAGTAATGTGAAAAAGCCTTCAGTTATTTCAGTAATCATCATAGACTTAAAAACTCACAAAGGAAAATTAACTGTGACTATCTGATGTGGCTTACACTGACATGAAAGGACTCAGTGAGGGGAAGCTATCAGGAATATGAACAATCTTCAGTGCACACAACTCTGATTACATACATGGAAGAATTCATAGCTGAGAAAATGTGAACCTGTGTGAGCTATACGAAAAATGTATTTTTCCCAATGCATTCAGATACATGAATTTATGTGGGAAAGAAGCCATGTGTGATACCCTTGGGGAAAACTCTTCCATTTTCCCACTTAGAAATGCATGGAACTCACATTGGAGAGAAACCCTATTAGAAAATGTGAGAAAGCATTTTGTTTCCCATAACCTCAGAAAAAAGTGGACCACTTAGTAAGCGTAAATCTGAAATGTGAGAAAAGTCATTTTTACATGACTTTTCGTGCAAACACAATATCATATTATGGAGAAACATATCAATCAATATATATATTTTTGGAACACCTCTAGTCATTTTCATTTTGTTTACATTTTAAAAGAATACTATTTTGAGAAAACACCAATATAAGGAAAGTACACAAGTCGTAAGTTGTCCTATATGTGAGAAAGATTGCAACAAATTCATGTGAATGTATAAAAATCTCAGTAATAACTCACTTTTTACACATTCCTCGAACAGTTATCATGTAGTACAAACTTATCCAAGTAAGTAATATGAAAATGTCATGGTCATTATTTCCGTGCAGGGTGCTCCAGAAAATATACAACCAGAGCAGTTATTCTAAAGTATAAATATAGTGTACTCATCTGTAACTGACTTTTAAAGTAGATCTCTGGGTTACGTGTTTGTAAGTTTACTTTTAGGAACAAATATGGTGACAATTCTTTCTGTGAAAGCAATAATGCTGGGGGGTTTCATATTGTTTTTTAAATCAAATTAGGTGATGTTTATTTTACATCATGACAGATGTACAGGTATATTAAAATGTATGCTTAATATTGTAGGTTTACTTTTGTTTTTAGTAACTGATGTAACGAAGCACTAAAAACTGAATTTTTGATAGTGTAATTTTTCCACTATCTTCTATTTAATTGGATGTTATATTTTATAATAATGTTTTATATTTTAAAAATTTCTTTATATCTGTTTCAGAAAGTTCAACACTTTTCAAACAACTTACAGATTAGCAATATTATGTTTTTTTTCCTCTCGTTGAATTTATTGGTACATTTTAGGTATACAGAACAGTTACATTCATCATTGGGATCTTGTACTTTACATGACAGGTCTTGGTTCTCATTTTTTCCTCTTATCCCTGCCCTCCCTTCACCCCCTCCTCACCTCCCCATTTACAAACACTTTATTTCCATTTTTTCATTTTAGAGAAGAGGCAAATAAAAACAGCAAATTGAGCATTAGCAGGAGTTGATGACAAATCTGAACTTAAAGTCTGAATTTGAATAGTTGAGTATTTATAGGGCGAACACAAGTCTATTCTGGCTAAAGTAGAAAATGCATACCGAGTGGATAACAGAGGTGAAGATGTTACAGATAGTTTTGAGTGATGCAATTACTAAATTATTGAATTTTATAAGGAGGAAGGTGAAATTTAAACAAAGTGGCATAATGAAGTTGGTCATGTAGGATTATTACAGACTTAAAAGATGGGAAAATATGGCAGGGGGGCAAGCTAAATGCTGCAATTGTTAAAATAAAAATAAAAATTTCTACTTTTTAATATCATGTTTTCCATACCCTGTAAAGGTGTGTGTGTGTGTGTGTGTGTGTATCATGACATAATTGTATATTACATCCAGTACATAATTTTGCCTGTATCTTTGACATCAAAAGCCTTCATTACCATGTATAAAAATTTTTAGGTGTTTTTTAATGTTAATTTTATTGGCACTGTTGATACACATGATGATCACATTCATCACAGGGAAATTATACCTGTACATAATCTATCTTGGTTCTTTTCTACCCATTCTCCTTCCATCTAACCTTTTGTCTCTTCCTTATGTACAAAAGCTTTGTTTCCATGTTTTTTCCTTGGAGTTAGTTAGGGTTAGGGTTAGAGTTAGTTTTTTCCTTCTCTTTTCCCCCACTTTGGTCTTCCTTTCATTTGATGATTGCTAGATACGAACCTGTCTTGGGCAGGGGATTTGGCTTAGTGGTTCCGCCACCTACCTCAGAAGTGCAAGGACTCAAGTTCAATCCCTGGCACCAAAAAAAAAATAAATAAAAAAAAAATAAAGCATTAACACAAACCTGTCTTTTAGGCCTGATATTCTGTCCTCATATTGGTTGATTCTGCTGCATATACTTTTGATAGAAATTTTGACTTGATATCTGTTTCAATGAATCTATTTCTTTTCTATGTTTGGCATTAATGATTTTCATCACTTTTCTAAGCTCCTCTATTTTATTTTTTTGGTACCGGGGATTGAACTTGGGTCCTTGTACTTGCGAAGCAGGCACCGGAACCACTGAGCCAAATCCCTGGCCCATAAGCTCTATTTTAAAAATTTGTATTTATTTTATATTCATTAACTATATCCTTCATTATGGTTTTGATTTACTTTTTTCTAGAGCTTCATTCATCTGGTTTGTTGCTTTTTCTACTACTATTTAAGAAAGTTCAGCTGGGTGACTTTTGATTTCTTCCATCTCAATACCCCCTGTATTTGCCTTGGGTTAACTGGAGGTGTGGAGTTGCAGCTTGCTTCCATGTCTTCTCATTTTTTTTGTTATTTTAATTAGCTTTTTTGCACTGATGCTTGTAAATTACTTATGGTGGGTAGCTTTATTACTAGTATTAAGACTTCTTAGTAAGTGACTACTCAGAGATAGTATAGGTGGGTATAGCTGGCTCTTGAGTCTGTTACATGATCCTAGCTGTTCAGTTTAAGAAGGATAAGAAATTGTTGCCTACTGGGCCTAGCACTCAGCTTTTTGGCAGTGGACTATGGTACTTGTAACAGCCCCCACCCTGCTACAATCTTAGTATTGGCATATAAGGAAGAATAGTGACAGCTGTGTCACACTGGATAAAGTAGTATAACCAGTAACAACAGTAGCATAAAGCGCAGTCTAGAAAATGACAAACTGTGGTAACTGGTAATTTGCCACCTTTAACAACATTTATAGCTATGAAGCAAAATTTAAAACAAATCAGAAAATTGTATACAGCAAATATCCCCTCAACGGAGTAATTTTACTCTCAGGAGAGAGCATTTTAAAGGGATAAGAGAGAGAAAAGGAAAGATATTAGAGGCAAGGCTGAAGGACAAAGGAAGATTCCTTAAGCTTTCAGAAACAGGAAGACAGGAGAAGAAAGAAGGGAACATTTAGCTAAATGTCTTGTTATAACAAAGAACAGTAAAATTCTGCACTTAGTTTATTTCAGTTTTATTATGTTTGATTCATTGCTTATATGAGTACATAATACAGCAAAACCTTGGGATTCAAGTAACTTTTCCTGTGAGTCTAGACAAGCAATATTTCTAATTTTTAACTTGACAAATGAACAGTGTCTTGGAATAAAAGTAGTACATACATGACACTGACTATCATGTATACAACTAAGCCAATGTCTCTCTCTCTCTCTCTCTCTCTCTCTCTCTCTCTCTCTCTCTCTCTCTCTCCCTCCCCCTCTCTCCCTTCTCTCGGATTGTATATGATCATCTCCCAACATCAACAAGTTGTGGAGGAGATCTGGTCTGCAGAGGAGGAGGAGAAAAAGGTGCAGGACTTCCTCCTGCATTGTAGGTTTTCTTTTCACTCTGTGGTTTCTCTTGCAGTGCAGAAACTTTTTTAATAGGATGAGACCCCAGTTGTTATTCTTTGTGCTAGGTCAGGTGTGACAGGTTTTGTTTATAAACTATTTTCCTGCACCTATGTCTTCAAGAGTTCTACCTAACTTATTTAACAACAGGCTTAGTATTTCTGTTTTTATATTTAGATCTTTGATCTATTTCAATTTTAGTTTAGTGAATGGTGAGAGATATAAATCTAGTTTTAATCTTTGGCAAGTTGAAACCCAGTTTTTCTAGAACCATTTGTTAAAGAATTTATCTTTCCTTCAGTGAGGGTGTTTGGTTCCTTTGCCAAAGATGAGGTGGCTGAGTGTGTCTGGGGTGGTTTCTGCATCTTCTAATCTGTTCCATATATCCTCAGGTCTGTTTCTTTGCCACTACCAAGCTGTTCTTATCACAGTAGCTTTGCAGTATAGTTTCAATTTCAGAATTGTGATACATCCTGCCTTATATTTGTTGCCTAGAATTGCTTTTGCTATTCTAGGTATCTTTTGGATCCAGATACATGTTTGGATTGTTTTCTCTAGCTCTGTGAAATGTGCTGTTGGGATTTCAATTGGGATTGTATCAAATCTGTAGAGCAGTTTTGGAAGTACGGTCATTTTCACTATATTGACTCTTCCTACCCAGGAACAAGGGATGTCTTCCATTTTCTGATCTTTGATTTCCTCTTTTCAGAGTGCTGTAGTTTTTTGAGTAGTGTTCTTTTACTTCCTTTGTTACATTGATTTAAGGGCATTTCATTTTTTGGATGCTATTGTGAAAGGAGGTGTTGCTCTAGTTCCCCTCTCAATGAGTCTGTTGTTTGTGTACAGGAAGGTTATTGATGTTTGAATGCTGGCCTTGTATCAAGCTACTCTACTCAATTTAGTTATTAAGTCTAGAAGCCTTTTGGTGGAGTTCTTGGGGTCTTCTATATAGAGTATCATGTCATCTGCAAATAATGACATTTTGACTTCTTCACTTCCTGTCTTTATTTCTTTCTCTTGTCTAATTGCTGTGGCTGATGTTTCCAAAATTATATTGAACAGGAGTGGTGATAGTGGACATCTTTGTTTTGTTCCTGATATTAGCGTGAAATATTTCAATCTTTGAGCATTTAGTCTGGTGTTGGCTTTTATTAGGTTGAGATAAAGACCATCTATTCCAGTTTTTATCATGAATGGATGTTGGATTTTGTTGAATGTGTTTTTCACATTTAATGAGATGATCATATGATTTTTGTACTTGGCTCTGTTAATATAGTGTATTACATTTATTGATTTGTGTATGTTGAACCATCCCTATATCCCTGGGATGCATCCCACTTGATCAGGGTATATGATCTTCTTGATTATCTTCGGCATTCTGTTTGTGAGTATATTATTGAGGGTTTTTGCATCTATGTTCATTTGGGAGATTGGTCTATCGTTCTCTTTTTTTGGTTGGGTCTATCTCTGCTTTGGGATCAAGGTGATGCTCGCTTTTAAGAATCAGTTTGGGAATATTGCTTCCCTTGAAATTTCATTGAAGAGTTTAAACAGTAGTGGCAATAGCTTGTCTCTGAATGTCTTATAGAATTCAGCAGTGAGGCCATCAGGAACAAGGCTTTTCTTTATTGGTAAGTTTTTAATTACATTTTTTTTATTTTGCTGGTTTGATATTGGATTGTTTAGAATTTTTTAAAGTTTTCATTCAACTTTGGTAACTTACATGCATCTAAAAATCTGTCTATTTCTTCTGTGTTTTCCACCTTATTGGAGTACAGGTTCTCAAAGTAGGTATTGATGATCCTCTGGATTTCTGCTGGATTTATTGTAATTTCACTCTTTTCATTCCTAATTGCATGGATTTGAGCCTTTTCTCCTCCCCCCTTTTTTGATAAGGTTAAGGTTGGCCAAGGGTTTGTCAATTTTATTATTCTTTTGAAAGACCAGCTCTTTGCTTCACTGATTTGTTTTTGTATTGTTATCTTAGCCTTCATTGCATTGATTTCTGCTCTGATCTTTATCATTTCCTCCCTTTTACAAGATTTTACAAGCCCTTCTTTTTCTAGGAGATTGAGGTTCAGTATTAGGTTGTTTTAGTTAACTCTGTTTTCCCAATAAGGGTATTCACTGCCATGAACTTCCCTCATAAGAACACTTTCTTTCTGTCCTGTAAATTCTGATATGGTGTATTGGTATTGTCATTGAATTTGTAGGAACTGTGTGATTTCTTCTTAAATTTCCTGTGACCCATTGTTGTTCAGGAGGGTGTTATTCAATACCTATGTGTTTATGAAGTTCTTGTGGTTTCTTTTGCTATTGGTCTCCAGTTTCATTGCAATGATTGAATAGTATACTGAGGATAACTTCAATTTCTTTGCATTTACTTAAGCATGTTCTATGAGCTACTATATGGTCTATTTTGGAAAATGACCTGTGAGCTGAGAAGACTGTATATTCTGATTTTGTGGG